TGGACGATCTTGGGTTTTTTAAAAGGTTAAGATGTTAAAAATCAGTCTATTTTGGGAGCATTTGCACTTATTTCCTATATTATTAAATAATCATTATAGTTATGGGAAAGTTTCTAAGGCTATCTGCCGCCATCCCTAATTTCGAAGTATTGACCAAAGGGCATGCAGTCAGTCAGCAGTATCCTATCACTCACGCTAAGGAATTATCTTTTACTCTTATAACGCACCAACCGCGTAAATTGCGGGGAATTTTTTTGGGTATCTTACGGATAAGAATCCGGCTCACAGGCTGCGAAATTCAGAGATATATCACAGTGCCAAACCCCGCCCCCATAAAATAAAAAGAAGTAATCAGGAGTAGTGACGTAAATATCAACACAGAACACCGGGAAAATAATGCACACACACATACTCTAGCCTTTCCTAGATTCACGTGAGTCTGAATCCGGTTTGCCAACTCCGAAATCCAGAGCTCTGCCACAGGGTCAATCCGCGTCCCGCACAGTAGAGCTAGAGAAATAGCATTTGCTAACTCTTTCCATACAACAGTGACCCTTGACCACTTACCTGTAAGTATTCATTGAGAGTATTTGGATCCCTGTTGTCCAGGTCAATGCCATCGTTAATAGACATGTCTGTGACCCTCACTGTGCGGACGTTGCCGGACAGTGTGGTCACTGTCTGATCTCGGGAAAAAATTTTGAGTTTTAGACCAGTCAGAAGAAAATAAAAGTGAAATATTTCGTTAGCAAGTGTCACAGAATATCCCCTGACACGTGTCTTTGTTACCAAGTTTGTTTCTGCGGTGGTGGGCTGCGTGTGATTTGAAATGCGGTGTAGTGCTACACAGAAAGGTTACTATGACAACAAAAATCACATACAAACTTTGTCAAACAACAAGGCATGACGCGTGTATCATGTGTTGGTTACTTCTATGGATTTCTTGAAGAAAAAAAAAAGACGTGGCCAGGCGGGATGTCTTTCAAATACACTTGTTTCCAAACACTTTCAAATGTATATATGTCCATGTTAGAAATATTTCAGAAAATATTGATTGATGACATAAGTTTATAAAACTTATTGTAAATCAAGACTACAAGACTTTGTTCATCGTGTACTTATTTGTTCCCGCCACAGCGTTATGAAACGGCGAGCTGTATGTGTTGTTGTGGAAAGGGCATTGTGTCGCATAAGGTATGAAAATACCATATATTCCAGTATCAGCGTTATGAAACGGCGAGCTGTATGTGTTGTTGTGGAAAGGGCAATTGTGTCGCATAAGGTATGAAAATACCATATATTCCAGTATCCACTAAATCACATTATAAAAATTTCCATTAACAACAGATTATGAAATAGTATTAAACACTGTTCGATTTTTTTTTTGCAATCAGTGAATTAAATATCAATTATTTTACTCCACTAAGCCTTATAAGATAATTATTTAAAAAATCAGCTCAATGGTGACTCAAATGATAGATTGCTTTAATATTTATTATTAGTTCTAAAATTGCTCATCGACAATTTTCTCACACAAATTATCGACCAATAAATTACTGTTAGACAGCTAAAGCGTTATAAACAATAATAATTAGCATATTGTAAATTACTAATATAAATAGCGTTTATTAGACCGAAACATTCTCAGTCGACCTGATGAGTTCTGGTATATAGCGAAAGGCGTCGTTGACAATGGTGTGCGGCGAATAAGGTGTACGTTCGAGGTGCTGTCATATTCCTCTTACGTGGAAATCCGTAGTAAAGAGCCAGTAAAATAAATATTTGAAAAAAGTCGTTATCTGACTTGTGATGATATAGTCACAAAAACTATGAATTAATATTAGGTCGTCAAGAAATTAATGTCGCGTTTTGGAACACTTTCATTAACCCCCCCCCCCAAAAAAAAATGTACATCACGTATAATAGTTAAACAAACCGCCTAAACGTCAAGTTAATGTAGCCTATATAATGTGTAAAGTTTAGTATACTCTAATCCCTCAGTGATGATACACGACGAGACACATATTCGGCATGTAATGCTGTTTGAATACAAGGAGGGAAACAACGCCTCTAGCCACAAAGAATATCAAAGAAGTTTATGGAAATGGTTTCAACGTTCATAAGTGTCAACGTTGGTTCAGCAAATTTCGTTCAGGTGACTTTAACCTTAAAAACTTAGATGGAAGGAGACGACATGTTGGAATTAATATTGATGCTCTGAAGACTCTTGTTAAGTCTAACCCAAGACAACAAACTCGTGAAATGGCCCTGAAATTGCATGTCTCTCATGAAACAATACGTAAATATCTAAGTAATGTGGGAACACTCCATAAAGAAGGTGTTTGGGTGCCTCACGAACTCTCCGATGATCATCGTTTCCAACGTATGAACGTTGCTTCGTCTCATCTGGGACATCAAAGGAGTAATTCATTTCGAACTCCTCAGTCCACTGCGAACTGTCAGTGCAGAGATCTATAGTCAGAAACTGGAACGTTTAAATCAAGCCTTTCTTCTCCACGACAATGCACGTCCACATGTGGCACGTTTGAGTATATTCAGCTACTTGGTCGGTTAGCAGTGAAATTGTACAAAAAAGTATATTTGTACGTTATTGCGCAGTACCATTAATGAATATATGTCTGTTGAAAGTGAAGAATCTAGGCCTACAAATACAACTGTTTACAAGTGATAGTAGCCTGTAGGTTAAGGACGAAATAAACTAATTTGTTATCGTTACGTGGACTGGACTTCACATTGTTTTCACCACATAATTTAAAAGAATCTGTCCAACGAAAGAACACATTACCACAGTATATGTATGTATGTATGTATGTATGTATGTGTATATGTATACGTATGTTTCAAGTTAGTTTAGGGAGAATGCAATTTCACAGTTTTATTAACTTATAAATGTACGTTTCTCTACTATATTCACTAGTTATCATTTCCCTAAAAGTATCTGTTAAATATAAGACAAGAACATTTACTTGAAAAAAAAAGTATGTAAAAAATAACCTAAAATAATGTCAAAATATATTCACCTATACTTCTATATATCATAAGTAGTAATATACAGTCTACAGTTACTCGTATAATAATCCGCCTGTCTTTCAGTAAATGTTTGAATAGACATAACATATAAGAAATAAACAATATCAATTAAATAGATTACCCAAATAACGGATGAATTCAAATTATAATGTTCTCTCACAAACGATTATAAAAAGAGTGGGGTACGAGGAGAAGATTTAGAAATAGGTCGCTTCGTTTGCTTCGGAAGATAAGTCTACTGCTAGTTTTCACTGAACGTTTATACCAAATTATAACCGATTCGAAATTAGTAATGAACAAATTAAGAAGTATGCAGCAAAAAAATTAAGGTCAAGCGAGGTTTTTATCATGAACGTTTGCCCTAAATAGGCCTAATTTAGCATATTTTACTTAATGATCGTTTGTTTGTTGTTTCTGGCGCTCTGTTCATCGGAAGTAATTGAGCACTGTCTGAATTTTAGCGTTTTCAAGTCTATCATCCTCTCAGTGATACAGCCGTAAGACTGTTGGCTTATAACGCTAAAAAGCGTGCATCGATACCCGTGGCGGGCAGAGCACGGATAGCTTAACAACAAACAAACTTACCGCTAACCTACCGGGGAACTTTCTTATTACTTACTCTTCAACATTATTTACACACCTGGTGTAGCGGCCAGATACCAAAGTATCAGCTTTTGTTACTTGTTTAAATTTAAAAATTTGATACTGGTCGTTGTATATGTCCACTTTTGAAATACAAGCAATTTGTGTGAAACAAATGAAGCCAATGTTGGAGAAGTTAATTTTTGTACACTTCATTTAAAAACAGGAACATACATTACATCACCACCATCTATTGGAGATAGCTAGAAGCTGGACTCTTCAATTTTGAAGTTACGTTTTTGGCCCGGCATGGCCAGGTGGAGAAGGCGCTCGACTCGCAATCTGAGGGTCGCGGGTTCGAATCCGCATCCCACCAAACATGCTCGCCCTTTCAGCCGTGGGGGCGTTATAATGTGACGGTCAATCCCACTATTCGTTGGTAAAAGAGTAGCCCAAGAGTTGGCGGTGGGTGGTAATGACTAGCTGCCTTCCCTCTAGTCTTACACTGCTAAATTAGGGACGGCTAGCGCAGATAGCTCTCGTGTAGCTTTGCGCGAAATTCCAAAACAAACAGTTACGTTTTTATTCACTTGGTGTTCATATGTTTAATATTTTCTATTGCTACTTATTTACGGAAATTCTTTTACTGACATTAAATAACCTCGAGGATTAATTTAAAACATGACTCATATAAGCAAGAGTCTACAGTTAATTATTATTCTAACAAACACTAAAGTTTTACACATTTGCTGACGTAGTTTAATCAATACTTTACCTTTCCTGTAAATTATAACAAAAAAGTACTATACAACCTATAACAATTTTTATAAGCATTTTATTATTTTACAATAAAGGTACAGTTACGTTTTTGTAGAAAAATACTTGACAACGCCAATAACACAAGCCTGCGAATTTAAACTCCATAAAAGTTGTTTTGGTTTTAATTTTCCATAACTTAGATACGCAGATTTCGAAAATAATATTCATTTTTTTCTATTACGTAAGGCCTTTTTACAAATCGGAAAGAAAAAACTCTTACTTAGATCAAATTATTATTTCGCTTACCACAATGAACATTATTTATTATTATGTGTGTTTCTCGTGGGTTCTAGAACGATCGATAAGACTTTCACGTCGCGATTGGTCTAGAGAAATCTATAGCCAGTGGTTGTCAACATTTTAAGCATAACAAAATGTGACCTGATTTCAATGAAAATGATTCACTTATGTAAAAGTATATATGATGTTTTGTGAAAAATATGTACGTAATGGAGAAAAATGGATATCATTTTCGGATTCAGCTTACAGGAATTACTGTAAAACATGTAAAAATTTCAAGACAATAAAACCATCGCAGGCCTGTAAAACATGTAAAAATTTCACGACAATAAAACCATTGCAGGCCTGTGTAATAAGCAAACAAAACAATTTTTGAAAAAGATCAATTTCAGAGCTCAAACATGTTGTATACAGAGAAGTGTAAAGAATTACCTATACTACTTGTATTATATTAATTAGAATATTATTCTACAGATATATATAAAGAAACCTACAATAAAAACAAAATAAAACATTAAATACATGACAAAAACTCATTGGAATTTAAAGACGATACCACCCCATCCGTTGTTATAATCAAACATACCCATGTAAAGTTTTACTGAAGAAAACGTTTGTAAAACACTTGTTAGATTATAAGAACTCAAGCCCAGCAAACGATGAGACGAAATAAGATAGGGCTCATTTTTGTTCAATAAACTTGACTGTGTTAAAGCCACAAGTGCAAAATAACTGAAATGATTAAACAATCAAGAACTTACTCAACGATCCTCCATTCTCCAGCAATTTACCCTTATCTATGGAATGGATACTAACCCTTGAAAACTACAAGGGATCGTTTCAAAACATATCACATAATACCCCAAATGACCATGCAATACCATCCTTGGCCTTGCAGCTTTAAAATGAAAAAAAAACATTATAAATATCCAGGGTTTGCTTATTTAAAAAAAAATATTTTATGATACCTAGCTTGCACATATATAAACAGCCTGCAATATTTTAAGTAACCAAAAATCATTTACTCTACACCAAAGAAAACTTTGGTATTCTTTTTACACCTTTTTTTTCTTTATCCAAAAATACAAGTCTTAAGATATATATGCATTCTTTTCTACTAAAATTTGGAATGTTGCATAGAAGATCCTTTCATATCTGCCTACAATTAACCCTTATCATCACAACTTTATAAACATACACACACACACATACACATATATACAACACACATAATGTGCATCAATATATATTTTAAATATATTCATGAATGTACATATACATAAAATAATTAGACACCCCCTGAGGTGGAAGGAAAGTCAGAGCATTATAACTCTGCCATGGCCTAGCCAGTCACGAATATAAACCGCACCGAGCACATGTGGGTTATCCTCGACCGATTCCTGTGAATGCGTTCCAGTCCAGTAAATCCACTTCCTGAGACTCCCTAATACAGATTCTGTGACTGAAATGGACTGCAATTACACAGACCAGGATTGATGATCTTGCAAAATGATCCGTGCGCATGTTGCTATCCTATAAAAGGTAAAAGGCTGCACAACAAAGTATTAGTTTCACTCATAGTTGGCCAGAGATATGTACAGTTCCAAAATAAGAGTGGTGTTCTTTCAAATTTGGGTGTCTATTTGTTAATTTCAAGTCTCTGTATATGTATACATAAAAAGCATTCTTTATATATAATTTAAGTTAAATACCCTGTGTTTTATTACAACTACTGGTATGTATTTTACAAACAAACAACACCAGTATCAAACTATCAGTCTTCTTTTTCCTTCATCAAAAAATAGTCTAGATTTGATTGTTTATTTGGCTTTCAATTACTATCAATGGAATGCATCTGATCGTCTATCTTCATGTATCAAGTAATCACAAATAGTCTTTAAAAACTATATTTTCTCAATCCTGATGTTGTCTACTATTTTGTTAGTTTTAGTCTGGCACGTTGTCTTCAATACAAGTTGGTCTAATCCATAGGATAGCAGTAATAGAAGAAAAACATGGGTAAGGTGCATGTACCCATTTCTTATTTAACACTTAGTTCCCAGCCTCAACTCCAACAAACCACCAAGGTTAGTTTACCCCTCTTTTTTCTTTTACTAATACAGTACTATCTGGTAATTGTGATTTTATGTATGAACTAAGTATTTGGCCAAGAAATTTAGAAGAAAAAAAATCTTAAGCTCGATGACTTGCTTTTGTATTTGGCACTTTAAATATTCTACTAATGTGATTTTTTTTCTTCAGCAAACAGATGTTTCTTCTCTTTGTAAAGTGTAGGTCACTGTTTCAAGCTTGTATGCTAGCTGGGTCTGGCTGCACATTGGGTCTACTGTTAGTGCTATCGATATCTAAACAAAATAAAAAATATCAAATGTTAAGAAATAAATTTAAAGATCTTGCAGTAACCATATTAAAAATAGCTGTACATAAATTAAATGCATTTTACATGTTAATGGATTATAAAACCTTCCTTCTCAGTGTACTGTTTTTATACAAACTACACAGTATTATATTTACCATAATGTTGCATATAAACAACATAGTATTATATTTATCATAATGTTGCATACAAACAACACAATATTATCTTTACTATAATGTTGCATACAAACAACACATTATTATCTTTACCATAATGTTGCATACAAACAACACATTATTATCTTTACCATAATGTTGCATACAGACAACACATTATTATCTTTACCATAATGTTGCATATAAACAACATCATATTATCTTTACCATAATGCTGCATATAAACCACACAGTATTATCTTTACCATAATGTTGCATACAAACAACATAGTATTATCTTTACCATAATGTTGCATACAAACAACATAGTATTATCTTTACCATAATGTTACATATAAGCCACACAGCTTATCCTCTTTCAGCCCACTGGTGGCTCAGCAGTAAATCTGAGGGTTTATGAGGCTACATATTGGATTCCAATACTCAATGTGGGTAGGTAGCCCATTTTGTAACATTGTGATTAACAGCAAATAAAACAAAAGTATTTTCTTTCTTATGATATTTTTACACAAACCACACAGCATGTTCTCTTTCTCAAGTTTTTTTATACAAACCACACAGCATGTTCTTTTTTTCATGTTGTTTTTATACAAACCAAATATATATATTACTTATGTAGTTTTTGAGTCCTTTTAAATTGCTATAAGGTAACCTAGATTACTTTAGAAGATTATGCTAGAACATTGCATTTCATTGAATACAGTTGTTTAAACATTTGTGTAACAACAAGTGAAAGCTTGGAATGGTTGCACCTAATTCATTAATCGATGCCCCCCAATGGCACAGCGGTATTTCTGCGGACTTACAACGCTAGAAACCGGGTTTCAATACCTGTGGTGGGCAGAGCACAGATAGCCCATTGTGTAGCTTTGTGCATAATTTCAAACAAACAAACAAACATTATTCAATATTATACAGTGGACCAACAGTTTAATGATTATATGTATATATATGTATTACAGATTTCTTTTTTTTTCTCCGAAGATAGGATTGAAAAGAGAATCTGTGATGTAGAGGCCAATTGCATTCCTTGATTGGCTGTACCCTCTGCTGTGGACTGCAATTTCACCTATTCAAGGCACATCAGCACAGATTGGGTCAGAAAACCAAAGAAATACAGTTGAAGATTATATGTATATATATATACATACACACACACACACATATACATATGTTACAGATGTCTTATACACAGTGTTCTTACGTTATTCACACTCACAAATTCATTTACATTACTGCATGGTGATTTAAAAGGACTCAAAACCCTATAGGTATTATATACGCATCACCATTATAAGAAGCCTAACTCTATTTCTTTAGTTTGCTGACTCAAACAGTGCTGATGAGCCTTGAATAGGTGAAACTGCAGTCCACAGCAGAGGGTATGGTCAATCAACGAATGCATTAGGCCTCTACATCACAGATTCTCTTTTTAATTGGATCTTCCTTGAAAAAGAAAAAATCTGTAATATATATATTCATTAGACATATATTCAACCATAAAGGGATGTGAAGTCAGACTTTTCCAGGGCTTCAACAGACATAATTATTTTAGTTTTGTATAGCAAAATACAGACCTGATTTTAAGTACAATTTTATAGGAAGTCATTTAAATTATCCCAAATAGGCTAATCTTCAACAGTAAATTAAACCCAATATGTGATCTACAAAATTAGTTACACAATAGCCTGATAGTTCCAGGTTAACATTTATAAGTCATTCTAAGTGAGTCATTTACATGTTTTCAATCATCAAATCCTAGAAAAACCTCACCACAACTTGTATTACCTCTTTAATGTATCTCTCTAAGTAGATATAAAGGTCTTTCACAGCATTCATACTGTCAAATTCACCTCTGTGTACCTAGAAAAAATATTATATACATATTAAATGAAAAACCATCACTATTTGATATATATTATATTAATACACATTGCAAGCTGATTGAACCAGATGGCACTGATAATTTTAAACAAATTTCATAAAATGAAACTCCAATACTGCAAACATTAAATATGAATTAGCTTGGAGGTTGCTCCACTAAAAACTATGGAACGAGGGGTTACAAATCAACTAACATCAATTAATTTTTTAATCTCATCTTTCAAGTATATGGGAATATAACAGTAAGACACATGAAATAGGTTTATACCACATTAAAATTATTTTAATTGCAAGCTTTAGTCCTTATTCATTGGAGTGAAATCTTGGTACTAAAATTACTTTAACAAGCATGTTCTTTGCTGTTACTCTACAATTGTAGATAACTCTTCCTCGTGAATAAGGCTGAGCTTCTTAGACCAACTCACCATAGACAACTTCTGTAAGTTGACGCTGAGCTGTTGATGAGTGATGGCAGGTAACTGGGCTACCTCTTTGTAAAATGTTGTTACCATCTTTTTGTATGGAAGAATATCCTTTGCAAATAACAACTTGTTTGATGGTGAGTCCTTCAAGAAAATATATTTTTGCAATATAACAAAAAGAAAACAGAAAAACAAACACACTTAGTTATTTCTTCATAAAACAGCTGAGAATTATAGTTGTGGAAGATTCCTTAAATATCTCACTGAGCACCTCATTTTTCAAAGAAGATTAAAAATGTTTAATGCTGTGATATAACTAATATTTGCCAACTATGTGAAAACAATGATTTAAAAAAAATGTACCCAAATAATCTAATAACTGTAAAAAAGTAATTTATAATCAAATCAATGCATGAAATCCATTTTGAAATTATTTTATGTTTACAACATTTAAAGACCTTAGCACAAAATGCTATAAAAATTTGACTGAAGACGAAATTTATCCATTATTTTGACTAAACACGTTCTTTTGGAAATATGTGAGGAAACAATTTTTTTTTTGCACTCAAAGGTTAAAAACGAATTCCTATCTAGTACAGTGCTTTTATTGGGAAGTATAGCCTCAGTTAATCATACAAAACATAAAACTGAATTTTGTATGGCTCATTTTTCTAGTGTTAAATCCATTTTTACCTCTTAGGAATTAATATACATACAACACACACATACAATTACCTCAGTTATGAAATGCAAAAAGCAAGTGTAAAAACTGAAAATATAAAAAAGTAGTTTCAAGCATGACAAATTTAATTCTATTTGGATAAATCAAATAATACAAAGAAGAAATGAAATAAAATATATATAATATACATGAACATTAAGATTTGAAGCTTAAACAAATACCCAGATAGTTTGGATGAAGGAATTTTATTTGGTAAAAATACAGTAAATTATTTTAGTGTTACTAATCTCAATGTAGTCTGGATTACTCAAACAGCTGATTCATAAAAAGTTGGAAAATCATATAACAAATAGGTATAACCCATGCATCCCTGATGGTGGACTTGTCTTCATCATGTGAAAATAGCTCAAAAAGGGAAATTTCATATTCTCTTTTGAATCATATTATTCAAATTATTTGGAAATATAATTTTTGTCAGCTAGCCAACTTTTGTAGCTATTAGATAGTACATTGTGACTAATTGTTTGGTTCCCATACAGTTGAAGAGATTTTCTGTTTTTGTGTGATAAAACTAGCAAAGCATTTTCTTCTAGGATAATAAAGGAGATAAAATTACCAGAATATTTTAAAGAGTTTGATCAATTTTTTATTGGCATAAAATTGGTCTCCAGTAATGAAAAATAAGAGCATTAAATAAGATTAATACACTTTGGCTAATATAGGCCATTGCAAAACGAGGATTTCCTCACAGTATTATCATTCATCAGTCTCACTGTCCCCGAATTTACAATGATAGAATCCGGGGTTCAGTTCCTCTCAGTGAACACAGTAGATAGCCCAATGTGGCTTTGATTGAATAACAAATAAATGAAAAAAGTCAGGGTTATCAAGTTTTTCCATGAGTCCTTTTTCTGTGTGAAAAGAAATTAAATCAAAAATTATTTTGTCATGTAAATGTTAAGAATTAGATATTTTAAAGTTGTCAAACAACTTTAAATGCACCAACATTAGAAAAGTAGATAAGCAATTTAATCAATTTTTAGAGTAAAACATTTTGTCAAAAATTGATTTCTTTGGCTCATTTATGGCTTTGGATAGTCTTCAATAATTGTTTTTTTTTTATATAAAAACCCAGAAATTTTTATAATTCAGGTAAATAATCCATTGTAAACAAAATATTTTCAATATAAATGTTCTAAGAATCTAAATTACACTTCTCCATACTTTTCCAAGTCTGTGTTCATTTGTAGAACATGCATCCATCAATGTCTGAGCAATGACTGAAAGGCAGGAATCTAGCAGGGGAGTTTTGTTGACATCTAAGATGAAGTCTGGATTTTTGATAAAATTCACCCAAAATCGTAAAGGCAGACTGTAAAGAGATATATCACAAATAGGGCACTGTGAAAAATGATTCTTTGAATGTCACGTGTAACTTGAAATTAATTATAATATTTATCAAATTCAGAAGAATTCTGTGATGAAACTATACCTTGAAATTAACTTTATTAACTTTCATTTTATAAAACAATTTTAGATTGAAAAATTTCTGCTCTTTAATCTGTTAGATTACAGATACGAGTGTATACATGCATAGACAAAGAATTATGATACTGATTAGAAGATCAAATAGTTAAGTTTTGATGTTTCTGTACCTATTACTCTTCCATGCATGTCCTATCTCGGGGTCTGTTATTCCATGCTGAGTGGCAGCTTCATCTAAAAGATCAAACAACCATTTCACACAGGCTGGAAAATTTTCACTAACAGTGAGTACTGTAATCAGGAAGTCATTCACAAACTTTTCAACTGTGCCCTAAAACAAAACAAAATTTCTGAGAGAAAAATACATTGTATATGACTCAACAGAAATTTAACTGTAACTAGAAATCAAAAGTTAAATCTTTATTGATTGGCTAAATGAATATACAGTAGGGGAAATATACACTGCATGCACTTCACTATAATGCTAAAGATATGTATAAAAATTAAACAAATAAACAATAAGTCTCTACAGAATTTCTACCTTTAATCACTTATAATTACACAAAACTGATTTTTTTTGTTTCATATATTCACATAAAGCTACAAAGAGTTACTTGCACTAACCATCCCTAATTTTGAACTGATGAATTAGAGGGAAGTCAACTAGTCAACAGCACCCACCATGAATTTTTGGGTTACTCTTACAATGCACCCACATCCCCAAATGGTGGTGTAAAATTCTTTTTCTTTCTCACTAAAAAGACCATGAACTTTCAGATCCATAGTTAGGCATGCTAGCCAACAAGACCATACAATAGGAAAATCATTACAAAACACAAAATAAAAAATTGGAATTATTATTGATTATTATATTTTATGTAGTATTAAATGTTTATAAGAAAAATGTGACAATGGTGCAAACAATGTAATCTCTCCTTTTAAAATGTGACAATGGTGCAAACAATGTAATCTCTCCTTTTAAAATGTGACAATGGTGCAAACAATGTATTCTCTCCTTTTAAAATGTGACAATGGTGCAAACAATGTAATCTCGCCTTTTAAAATGTGACAATGGTGCAAACAATGTATTCTTGCCTTTTTATAATCAAAGTTTAAAGAACGAAAATGTACTGATTATATAGTCACTTGAATTATCAAAGTACTTGAAAATATATTCTGCTTGTTATACAATATTTCAGAGCTGGTTATTATCAATAAAAACTTCTCCACGAAATTAAAGAAGAGTGTATAATATCATGTCAACCACATCTACTGATGAGACCTTTTGACCAAGGCTATTAAAGACGACTGTGATACAATTGATAGTTGAGACGCTATTCATATTAGCAAAAATGTCTTTATGATATATGTTAATTATGTTGTGAACTCAATTATGTAGGTGAAGTATACTTTTTATAAATTTTACTTCTGTTACAACAAAGGGTAGGATTTTTTAACACCACATTATTTATTTATTTAATACCAGTTACGAAAGTATTTCTACAAGTACCTTAGTGGACAATAATCTGGTGAGGAAGATCTCAGGCCTTATGCTTTGATGATTATGATTATCCATGGATTTGATGAGATGCCAGTATTTCATGCCTTGTTCTGCTTCTGGAGTGTTCATGATTGGCATTACTGAGCCCAAAGAGGTGTCCTCAGTGCCTAGAAGGTGAAACATAAGGAAACTGTTGAGGTACATTCTAACTATTGTGTTGTTTTAGTAAATCATCAGGAAACTGTTGAGGTACATTCTAACTACTGTGGTGTTTTAATAAATCATCAGGAAACTGTTGAGTTACATTCTAACTAATGTGGTGTTTTAATAAAGCATCAGGAAACTGTTGAGTTACATTCTAACTATTGTGGTGTTTTAATAAAGCATCAGGTAACTGTTGAGGTACATTCTAACTATTGTGGTGTTTTAGTAAATCA